GGATAGCTTCCACCTTACGGGTGGATTGTGGGCCAGAAGTATTTCATAGGCCTTGCGTCCTGGACTGTTCGTACATACCCCCAAAATTCCTACGTGGAAGGTGAATATGGGTGTGGATGAGGGGCCTTTACAAAAGTAATTAAAGTTAATGTGGTCGTAGGAGTGGGGCCTTGGACTGACAAGATTTGTGCCCTGTAAGAAGAGGCACAGCAGTCGCGGCCCGCCTGCCACAGAGCTCACACAGTGAGACGGCGCCACCTAGGGCCTGGCAGAGAGGCCTCAGGATGCAGCTTACCTTGATGGGCACCTCAGAACCCTGGGAAACACATTTCTGTCATTTAAGCTGCCCAGTCTGGGATCTCTTGTGTGGCAGCCTAAGCCAACTAAGACACCATGGTTTTGTTTCCCAAAGAAACAACATAGTAAGTTAAGGCTGGGCTCCCAGGCTAAGCCACCAAGACGCTAATGACCAGGAGGTGTAGAGGTCATGTAGCATAACCTCAGCCAAGTGGAATTGTTGGGGGTACTTAACTCATATCGCCAAGTGTTCCCAGGTCGCAGAGCCCTGACCAGCTCTTATTAAGGTGCACTTGTCAGAAAAGTGAAGCTCCTTACCCTGAAGATGAGGTGCGTCCGTGAGGCAGACACGAAGAGGACAATGGACTGTCTGGAGCAACTCCACAGGCAACCTGAGAACAGGGCGGAATCCACGGCTCGGCCGGCGGGGCCCTGCAGGAGGAGCCGAGGGGTGCCTGGCAGCAACTGTGGGGGCACTACCAAAGGCACTCATGCCTGGGTCAGGGTCTTCTCACCCCAGAAACCCGTAAGTGGAGCCAACAAGCACCACTGCAGGCTCCCTTTGTCCAAAGGGAGAGTGTGACCTCATCGCCACGCTCCTCTGTGCCCTGGCCAGGCTCACTGAGGGTGCCAGTACAGCAAGGACACTTTGCCTGTCTGTGGGAAGCTTAAAATCAAGTGTAACAAGTAAGTCACACATTCGTGATCTCTCCACGAGGGCTGAGCGTGCTACCCTGAGTGGGAAACAGAAGGCAGGGGATGGGAGGCCCAAGTTCTGGGGGGCCAGTGGAAGGTACTCCAGGGGCTGAGCTGACCCCCAAAGGCCCTGGGTTCCAAGAAGTGTTTGATGCTAATCCTGGGAACCCCGGGGTGGGGACCTGCTGGGCCCTTCTGAGCAGCAGCAGCAGGTGTATGTGCAGGGCCCCAGAGGAGCAGGAACATATCCAAGACCACTCCCAGAGGAAGTCGGTTTGGTCATTGCCTCCGCCTGTATTGATCAACATGGCCGTTGGGAGCTGCTTCCAGAGGGCCTTGCTCACGTGGAAGCGGTGGGCAGGGTTCTGAGACTCGGTCCTAGGTGGAGACGGTACACACAGCCTGCAGAGGAGGAGCTGCAGGAAGTGGGAGGCTCCTAGCTGTGCTGCAGGGTGAACATCTGTTCAGTCGGATCCACTTGAACTTCTCCCTCTTAGGTCCTGGCTTCTAAGGGCTCCTAAAGCCACCTAGGAGCATTTTCACTGCTGTGCAGGGACTGCTTTTATCATCTGCAGGTCTATTCTACCCCTTCACTGCTAAGTCTTCTCATCAGCACCTGTGTTGTTCACTTGCTAGAAGAGAGTGCTCTAAATATACGTGGGGCGTGCAAACGCAGCCAGCATGCCAGCAGAAAACCTGCAACGGGAGCCACCACAGGTGACAGAAAGTCAACAGCGACAGCGTTACTAAGGTCCTCTGCACACGCAGGGGAGGGCAGTGGTCCGTGGCCCACCCACACCCACCCCACCCAGGCATGCCTGCTGTCCTCTGCTGCTCAGAAGTGCCCAGCAGGCCCCTGCCCCCAGGGTCCCCAGGATAAGCTCCAGCCCCTGCCTTGGAATCCAGGCTTTTGGGGTCAGCGTCACCCCCTTGCAGAGAACATTACACCATCCCCTCCAGGGTTCCGCCCCAACCCTTCAGAGCCTGGCCTCGCAGGCTCCCAGGATGCAATGATGCAGCCTCAAGACTTGTGTCCAGGGCAGAAGCCTGCAGGGCAGGAGTTAAACCTCAGGCTTAGGTATTCTGTCCTGATGGGTCCAGACTACATTCTGGGGCACTGGCTACCACCGTTAATGTCACAGCACCATCTGAGGGCTCCGGCAGAGATGAAACCCCGGCACTGCTAAGCCTACCTCCCATCCATCGCTGGAGGAGATGCCAAATCGCAGTCAGAGAACCATGAAAATAAAGGCACAGGGCTTCCCCGTCACGGTGCCGGAGACCTCTGGACCCTCGCCTGGGGTCCTCGCTCCTGCTGGCCCCGCCAGGCCATGGAGCTCTTCCTACTGCATGCATCCCTGGCGGAGCCGAGGACAGCTTCCCTGTTTTTCACACTGTGCTTTAGACCTCTCCTGCCGTGGGGCGCAGCCTCCGTGGAGCCAGTGGGCCTATCTGCCACCTGCTATGGCCAAGGACCTCAGAACACAGGCTGGCTATGCTTTCCCTGATGGAAGGGGCTGGACATGGCCACCTCCGGTCTCCACAGCCCACAGGGAGGCTGAGCAGCGTGTATCTGAGTGGGTGACGGGGAACCTGTATCTGTGACAGCCGGAGAAGGGGCTGCCTTGGGCATGCCAGAGCCTGCCAATGTCCCCACCCTCACCCTCCACACCACTGAGCCATCTGTATACCCAAGGCCAGCAAAAGGAGAGAGTGGACAGCCAACATCCCCGCTCCCCCAAAATATGTTTTATTCTTGCATTACGTTTGTGTTTCCAATCGTGAATACAAAATGGTTAGAAAGTGGTTACAAAACAGTGTGAACTGGACACGAGAGCGGTGGGCCCTGAAGGTCGGTCACCTCTCTGCTCAGACGACACGACTTGGGCCTGGCATCCGGGCCGACTCAGTCGGGCTTCTCACTCTCAGGACCTAGAAAACAAGACCGCCACAGCTTATTAGCTGGCCACAGGGCACCGGCCTCTCCTGGGGGCCAGGCCTTGACCAGTCACATGCAGCCGGCTCTCCCAGGTGATGCCCAAGCCAGGCCAACCTATGTCCACACCCTATGCAGACAGGTCCTGTCCTTAACACAGGCCCCAGCAGCCTGTGGTCAGGTCGTTTCCCTTACGGAGATGACTGCCCAAACCCAGACAGGGCAGCCTAGCTCCTCCATGGCCAGATGACCCAAGAGCCAGCAGCCCCTGGTCCCCTGGGGCACGGTGAGTGAATGGTCGGTCCTCAGCTTCCTTGCCTCTGCCCAGGGGTAGCACTGGGACAGGGGCTGCAGTGAAGTTACAGGATGCACTGGCTCTGGGACACAGTGCCCCTTCTCCTGAGCAGAGGTGTCCACTGCTACCTGGACAGGGCAGGACACACCGGGCCGTCAGCTGAGTCAGTGTCAGCCCTGTGATGCAGGAGAGAAAGGTGCCCTGCAAGAGCTGTTGGGGGAGGGCCAGCCAGTAATGCACAGAGAGGGGCCTCTCCCCAAATCACCACCTGCCTTAAGGCCACGCCCCTGCTGGAAGGCCAGCACCCTCAGGTGACCTGTGGTAACCCAGCCCCCAAGTCCTCGGCAGAGGTGTCCCGCCCTCCCAGGTGTTCCACCCACCAGCAAGAAAAGGATGCTGGGTACCATCCGGGGTCCTGCAGCTGGGCATTCTGGGAGGCAGCCCCAGCGTGGATGGGGCAGAGATGCCATTCAGCTGACCACGAGAGACTCTCCCCTCGTCTGTGCTACTGAGCACAGCTCAGGTGCAGGGCAGACACCAGCATCCTTAGGGCCTCGCTCTCCTTGCCCTGTGCTGGGTCCAACCTGGCGCCTTACTCGGCCTCCCCCGTCCCCCAGCTCCCTGCTCGGTAACGTCCCATCCTCCCTACAGTCTGGTTTTATGTGGACAGAGGGTAAGAAAAAGATGTTGTTCCACAGTGTTTTCAAGCACAAGTGTTTATTTTCTCCTTCATATACATAGTCTCACGGGGGTCCCACCATCATGTGTGAGGAACAGACTCACAGGCAGAGGGAAGGGGCAGGCGGCCTCCATCACTGAGGGCTAGGGCTGAGGGCGCCCACTACAGAGGAGAGAAGTCTCTCATCACAGCGTCTCCCCTGGCAAAAGGCTGCACAATGACCTGAAAAATCCAACTCTAACTGAATGGGTGGAACGATGTATTTAAACCAAAATAATCCAGCAGGTTCTTATAAGCACAGCGGAACCAAACAGTTGCAGCAGGCTGCCAGGCAGGCGGCCTTCTGCGGGAGGAGGTGGGGCCTTCGTCCCTGCCCAGGGCTAGCAGGTGCCTGTCTGAGACGGGGCCTGTCAGGGTCTCCAGGAGAGGGTCCTGCCATCAGCAGCCCCTATGAAAATCATGGAAGGGGCAGGCCAGTGGGCAGGAAGTGTTAGGTGCTGCTGGGTACAGGGACAGGTGGGAGTGCTGAGGCCCTGCACCTGTGTGCTCACAGCAGCCATGGGCTCTGGTGAGCTTTGCTCACTGAGCATTTTCTGGTACGCTCCTCACAGCCCAGCTTCATTGCTGATATTCCTTACTGAGCAACTTGGCCACTGAGTAAGTCAGGGACACCCCTCACCCCCAACCCTGCCCCGCCAGCCCCGCTCCAAGGGCCAAGTCCAGCTGGCCTAGCATTTGCAGCTGTTCCAATATATTCAAGACTGCCAATTCAGTTCTTTTGCTTTTTTTAAAACAAAATATTTACAACAAAAAACTAAAGATCAGATTGGGAGACCATTCACATATCCGCAACTTAACATGGTAAATAAAGATACCAATGCACAGGCCGGTTGTCAACAAAATACACCTTTTCTCATAAGTGATTTTTTTAAAATGTCTCTTTCCATCGGGAAAAGCTGAAGTCAAGACCCTGCACTTGTGCGAGGTGATGGCATGGTGCTAACCGTTAACTCAAGGACAGGCGGTGGGTGTGAGCCACATGCGGACCTAAGAGTGAAGCGGCCTGCAGCAACATCAAAAGCCAGTCTGGTTACCGCATGCTGCGCCCTCGTGGCTGGGCCCTGTGCCCATGGTGGAAGGGAAGGACACAGGGGCCAAAGCACAACCCACTTCCCCTGCACAGTTCAGTATGTTCCCTCCAGCCAGCGGCAGGGCAGAAGGCTATGTGATGTGGAGCCGGGAGGCAGGTGCACTGACCACGGGTGGCCACAGGAACGCTGGCAACATGGGTGGGCCCCTCTGGGCTGCCCAGGGCCCCCATGACACAGGCACTGGAATCAGGCCTCCATACTGACCCAGAGGCAGTGCACAGGGCAAGGTGGGGATGCTGGAGCAGGCAGTACCTGGTGTGGGCACAGGGAGGGCTGGGGTGGCTCCGGGAATGGCTGCGGTGCACAGAGGGCCGGGCACTGGGGCCAGACATGGCATCCCCATTCCTGCTCGAGCTGTTGGCATCTGTGGGACAGAGAGAGAGAGAGGAAGGTACACAAGGCTGCAATCAGCTGGCCTCTCCCCATGGCTCTGGGGTCCCTGCGGTGTCCCTTCCTCAGGATAGAGTAGTCCCCGCCCCGCTGCAGACAAGCATCCCCAGGGCTGGCACCAGGGAGATGGTACAGCCAGGCCAACTTTGGGCTGCGTACCCAGACCGTCCACAGGCCAGAGCAGGCCTCAGAGCTGGACCCCTCCACTCCGCGGACACCCAGGCCTCTTGCTTGACTCATGCTATGGCTGGGATGTGACTGGGGAGGGATTTGTGCAGTGAGGCCTGGTCCTCAGTGTATTGATATGGCACAGTGGAACCTTCAAAAGCTGGGGCCCAGTGGGAGGTCTGCTGGCCACTGGGGATTGCCCTTAAAAGAAACTGTGGGAGCCCAGCCTCTGTCTGGCTTCCTGTTTACAACATGCTCACTCCTTCCCTCTGCTGTTAAGCTCTCACTAGAGCTCTACCAGTGGGACCACCCAAGCTTGGGCTGTTGGCCTCCAAAACTGTGCACTGAATAAACTTCTTTTCTTTATAAAGTCAGCCTGACTCAGGTATTTTATTACAAAGAATAAAAAGGCAGACCGGTGCCTGGGCATAGCAATTGTGCTAGGCAGGATGGCAAGGCAGTCCCTCCCTTGTGCTGTCAGTCAATGGAAAAGCCACGAAAGAGAGGAAAAGGGGCAGCCAGGGGCTCCTGGAGCCAGCATGGAATGAGAAAGAAACCTGGGCCAGCACCGCGGCTCACTAGGCTAATCCTCCACCTAGCGGCGCCGGCACACTGGGTTCTAGTCCCGGTCGGGGCGCCGGATTCTGTCCCGGTTGCCCCTCTTCCAGGCCAGCTCTCTGCTGTGGCCAGTGAGTGCAGTGGAGGATGGCCCAAGTGCTTGGGCCCTGCACCCCATGGGAGACCAGGAGAAGCACCTGGCTCCTGGCTTCAGATCAGCGTGGTGCGCCGGCCGCGGCAGCCATTGGAGGGTGAACCAGCGGCAAAAGGAAGAACTTTCTCTCTGTCTCTCTCTCTCACTGTCCACTCTGCCTGTAAAAAAAAAAAAAAAAAAAAAAAAAGAGAGAGAGAGAGACAGAAACCTGCTGAGGCTATCCCAAGAAAAGAGGTCACAGACCACAGCCTTCAACACTCAAAAGCAAATGTTGGCAAATAGAGTCCAGGGACTACAGAAAAGACAAAACATCCCCACCTGTCAGGGTTGCCCCAGGAATGCCAGGTTGCTGTCCCGCTGGGAACCACTACACCTCACTCCAGTAAGGACCCTGTAGACGCAGGGCGAGCTCTCCACAGCCCCACACCCTCATACAAGGCACCCTCAGGGGCAGGCTGAGAGGGAGCCTTCCCTTAGCAAGGCCTCCTCGAAGCTGACAGCCAAGCCCTTCTGGTGGTGAAACACCAAATGCTTCCCAAAGCTCCTTAGCACTTCTGTCAGCACTCCAGGGAAGTTCCAGCCGAGGCTAGAAGAGGAATGAGGTGCAGCCTGCAAAGGCAAAGGGAAGCTCTCTGCAGATGACAAGACTGTATGGAGACGCTCCCCATGGATGGACAAGCCAGTTTCTAGAACTAAGAAGCCAATCAAGGCTGACCTGCAACCACATTCCCATATACGGGCAACATACAACTGGAAAAGCACACTGAAGGAACAGATCCCAAGACATCAACCATCTAGAGATAAACTGAAAGATGTGGAACTACTTCTCACCAAAGACAAAGAGCAGAGACACCATCTTTGTAGGAACACTCAATAATGGTGATCCATCACCTCACATTCAGCTGATCAACAGGTGTAATGTGCTCCCAGTTGAAATCCTAGCAGGTCATCTTCTACAGAGTAACAAGCTGTTTCTGAAAGCTATGGTGTCCCCTTCGCTTATCTGCACTGACACTTTCCATGGCTTCCGTTAGCTGTAGTCAACCACAGTCTGAAAACAGTAAATGCACAGTGCCAGAAATAAAAATTCCTGTTTTAAACTCTGTGCTGTGCTGAGTAGTGTGATAAAATCTGGGACCACGTGTCTCCGTCCTGCCTGGGCCATGACTGGATCCAGCATAATCATGCTGTATGTGTGCATGTGCAGGGTAAAAATAAATGCATATAGAGTTTGGTGCCACCTGCGGTTTCAGGCAGCCACCGCAGGCAAAGGGGCATTCCTCTCTGCAAACATTAAAACAGAAAAATCAAGACATTCTTAGAGATTAGCATTACAGGTCTTATCACCATTAAAACTCACAACACAGGTACGGTAATTGAGAGTGTGGTACTGCCAATAATGATAAAAGAATGGCTAATGGAAACAAAACTGCAAGTTCAGAAACACACTTACATATACGTGGCCCCCTGATAAATGTCTGAAAATCAGTGCCATGCATGTGCAAAGAATGCTGGAACTACCAACAATGCACACAGGAAAAATCACCAAATCATACACAGGTTAACCTGAGATGACTCACAGGCCTGAATACAATAGCCAAAATTACAAACCTTCTAGAAAAAAAAACAAAATTAAAGCCTCTGCCATTTCACCATTAAGTAATGCAAAATGACACAGGACAGGTGTTTGGTGTAGTGGATAAGACTTCACTTGGGACACCTGCATCCCCACATCAGAATGCCTAGTTTGAGTTCCTGTTCTCCTTTTTTCTTTTTGTTTAAAATTCATTTATTTATTATTTGAAAGGCAGAGTTACAGACAGGTAGAGGCAGACAGAGAGGTGTCTTCTATCTGCTGGTTTACCCCCAAATAGCCACAACGGCAGGAGCTGGGCTGATCTGAGGCCAGGAGCTTCTTCTGGGTCTCCCACGTGGGTGCAGGAGCCCAAGGACTTGAGCCATACTCTACTGCTTTTCCAGGCCATAGCAGAGAGCTCGATCAGAAGAGGAGCAGCTGGGACTTGAACCAGCACCCATATGGGATGCTGGCCCTGCAGGCGGCGGCTTTACCTGCTATGCCACAGCACTGCCCTTCCCCTCACCCCGCTCTCCTTCTAATCCAGCTTCCAGCTAACGTGCACCCCGAAAGGCAGCAGATGATGGCTCAAGTACTTGACTTCCTGGTACCCAGCGGGAGGCACAGATGGAGCTCCTGGTTCTGGTTTTGGCCTGGCCTAGCCCTGGTTATTGCAAGCATCTGGGGAAGGAACCAATGGATGGAAGAGCTCACTGTCTTTCAAATACAAATGAAAATAAAAATTAAAAGTGAAAAAAGTCACAGATTGGTAGAGAAAAAAAGTCACAGATTGGTAGAAGACATCCATGCAATATATGACAAAAGATATAGGACAAAATCCCTCAAATCAGTAAAAAGATAAGCAAGTTAACTTTTAATGGTCAATATCCTTGACCAGCACTTTATAAAAGATGGCAGATAAGAATATGAAAAGATGATCACAGGCAAACTGAAAACAATAATAATAAGCCTACTACCCTTCAAATTCTTATCACAAATTTTCAAATATCCTATACAAAATCTATTTAAAAAAACTCATGAGACAAGGCAATACAGAGAAAATGCAGCTGACAGAGAAAACAGAAACAAATACTATGTGAAGATACAAAATTGAGAATTTTGATTGAGTTGGAAGCTATTCATTTATTTACTTATTAAAGATTTATTTATTTATTTAAAAGAGTTACATAAAGTCAGAGTTACAGAGAGAGACAGATCTTTCATCTGCTGGTTCACTCCCCAGATGGCAATACTGACTGGGGCTGGGCCAGGCCAAAGCCAGGATCCAGGAGCTTTTTCCCAGTCTCCTACACGGGTGCAGGGGCCCAAGGACTTGGATCATCTGCTGCTGCTCTTCCAGGTGCAGTTGCAGGGAGCTAGATCAGAAGTGGAGCGGCCCGGACTTGAACCAGTGCCCATTTGGGATGCTGGCGCTGCAGGCTGTGACTTAACCCACCGTGCCACAGTGCCAGCCCCAGAAGCTATTTAAAAAAAGAATATAGCATTGTGGCATAGCAGGTAAAGCCGTCACCTGTGGTGCCAGCATCCCATATGAGCACCAGTTTGAGACCTGGCTGCTTCACTTCTGATCCAGCTCCCTGCTAATTTGCCTGGGAAAGCAGTGGAAGATGGCACAAGTGCTTGGGCCCCTGCTACCTATGTGGGAGACCTGGAAGAAGCTCCTGGAGACTGGGTTCAGCCTGGCCCAGACCCAGCCATTGTGGCCATTTGGGGAGTAAACCAGCAGATGGAAGCTCACTCTCTGTGTGGCTCTTTCAAATAAATTAAATAAATCTTTTTTTTAAAGGATATAACATACATGGGAAAAACAAACATGAATTAAAAATATTCACAAAGGGGCTGGCATTGTGGCTCAGTGGGTAAGCCGTTGTCTGTGATGCTGGCATCCCATGTGGGCACTGGTTCGTATCCCGGTTGCTCCACTTCTGATGCAGCTCTCTGCTAATGGCCTGGGAAAAGCAGCAGAAGATGGCCCAACAGTTTGAGCCCCTGCCACCCACACAGGGGACCCACAGGAAGCTCCTGACTCCTGGCTTTGGCCTGGCACAGACCTTGCTGTTGCAGCCATCTGGGGAGTGAACCAGTGGGTGGAAGATCTCTCTCGCTCTCTCCCTCTGGCTCTGTAACTCTTTCAAATAAATAAATTAATCTTTTTTAAAAAGTTCATGAAAAATATAATTAAAAGGTATGTTTATTTTGGTACAAATTTTTTAAAATCTATACACATTTTCCATAAACCTTATGGATTTCAAAAATATTTGTACCAAAACAAACATTTCATTCCATTTTTCATGATCTCTTTAAATTGTCCTTGTAGGAATTCTACCACTGAAGAAATACAATAACCAAAATTAAAAACTCAGCAGATATTTAAAAGTCCCTTAGGCACAAATAAACATTTAATAAACTAAAATCTGTAGAAATTAAAATAGGAAGGCATAGTCCATTCAAAGGAAGAAAAGTTTAATTGACAGAAACTTTCCCTGAGGAAACTCTG